CATCGTTAAAGGATTGTAAAGGATGTAGGGAGCTGTCTCCGCCTTCGTTTTCTCCCGTTACCGCCGATACGCCCTTCTTTTCCACGAGGAACTCCGACTTTCCCCGGGGCGAACGTTACTTCGCACCGCATCTATTAAACCCGTTAAATAATTTCGAGGGAGGATTCATCGGGAAGCGCGTGGTCGGCGCTTAAGCAAGTCTCTTTCGTCTTTCTCTCTCTCTCTCTCTCTCTCTCTCTCTTTCTCGTCCTTTGTCTACCCCCGTCAATCCTCACGTGCGGTTTTGAAAAACGATGTTCCCTCCTCCGTCCCTTGACGTTACTTTCGCGCTCGCGTCCCCTCGACGGCGCCCGATAGCCCCGCGCTATCGGAAGGATATCGATTCCTCGTGGCTCGGGAAAGCACCGCGGTGGCCGGGAGAGACGCCGAGGCTTTCGATTCCGAAGTAACGAGGTCCGGTAATGGAACCCGTATGTGTAATTTACCACGGAACTGGAGGCGCGCGCGCGCGGGTGCACGCAAACACGCGAACGCATCCACCCACACGCAAAGCGGCTTGATTAAAATTTCTTTGGAACCTCCTCTCTCTCTCTTTCTCTCTCTCTCTCTCTCTTGCTCGCTCTTTTCATCCCTCCCTGCCTGTTCCCGCACGGTGTTCGTTTGTCTCTCGACGAGCGCCTCTCGATCCGGGGATGCTCGTCAACCTCGATGCGGGCTCCCGCGGAACAACGACACGCGCTCCGACCCGCTTAACGAACAATTAACGTCGGGATCCCGGCGCGTAACGAGCGATCTGTAATAAGAAAAGAAGAAACGACGAGAAAATTCGATCGCTGCCCGCGAAAGCTCTCTGGGCTTTATCTCCCAAGTCCTAAATCGTCGTAGCTCCACCTGCGCCTCTTTACAAGATCGGAAATCGACGCACGTGGAAGACGCACTCGTTTCGATCCTCGAGACAATCGTGCTTCTTTTTCTGAAATCGCGCCCAGAACATGGTCTTTAAACTGCTTCTAAGGGACAAATTTTCCCACTGGACGTCGATTGCTCTTCAAGAATTATTTAGAAAAAAACTATTTTACGACCACTGGCTCGCAACCGGATGCTGCAACGCTTTCTTGTCTGATGAGCCTCAAAACAGGAAATCTCGAGAAATCATTCTGTGAGAATCATAATCTTAGGATGGAGTATACTAATTTCCCAGCAAGCGTGAATGTAAAACGTACATGGGCAGCTTGATGATTTCGTTCCTTTTCTTTTCTTCCGGTACGGAAAGAAGGGAGAAACGGGAAATATACTCGAAAGAATTTTCTAATTAAAAACGCTCGTTTCATAAAGCAAGCGCGCCTTGGCGAAAGGAGAGAGAGAGAGAGAGAGAGAAAACTAACGTAAAGTGTATTTAGAGAGACCCCCGCTCTCGTTCTCTCTCGCTTTATTGACACAAAAGTGCAGCACCTTCCTTCACCCCTTTTACCGCGCAAAGCGAGATAATTAAAGAACTTTGAACAATAATGTGTTAGCCCTTACGTTTTTCTGTGCCACCGCGAACTCAACGATTCACGAAAGTTCACAATTGGTGTGGGTTTATACATTTCAGAATCTTCATAAAATTCTTCAACAAAAGAAAAATCGTTAGGCAGTTCTGAGTTAATTAATTGAGGACGTTTGACAGGCTGAAATGCGTCAATTCGCAAAAAATCGAGCGTTAAAAAAAAAGCGATTGGGGAAAATATTGTAAACCGTTAACAGGAGACGTCTCTCGCTGCGACGCGCGTTCGAGCTTATTTCTGTCGCAGCCGTATTTTCTGAACAACAATTCCTCCTCGTTTCTCAGTTTCTTTTCCGCCGCGCCGAGCTGAAAATAATCCGCGCGATTACGCGACGTTCGTCTGACGGGACGAGCGCGGAAAGTCCGCGTGTAACGTAAACGCGGCCCTCGGAAATGGCCGTGCTTTGGCACCGATGATGCGCTGCCGAAAGTAGGTTTCCATGGGATCTCGAGCGTAAACCAGCTGTAGTAGGTGCCCGAGGTGAATTGATTAAAATCGAACCGCGGCGGCGCGGCGCGCACGCTAACAAAGGAGAATTGCGGCACGGAAAGGGTGAAGAGAATGTGGGTGGACGTGTAGATGGAGCGTAGAATGGGGAATGGGCAAACAGAGCGCAATTAACGTGCAACCATTAAATATGTACGCGCGCGTTGCTACAGCGCGACGCATGTGCGCAGGTCGGCCTCGCAAATACATCGGGTATATCGGGTATACCCTCCACCCTCCTCTCGCTTCATCCTTGTGTGCGTTACGAACGAGCGAGCGAGCGAGCGAGCGGGTCGCAGCGTCTCTTCCCGTGGCCTGTTGGCACAGCCGCTTGATTAGCTCCGCCATATTTACATGTCATTAGCCGATTGTTTGTCCAAGTCGGTAACTCCACCGCTCCCACCCTCTCGTCGCCGCAGTTTAGTCGCATTTTTTTTCCAGCGGGAATCCATCCGCGATTCGACAGAACGTCCGCGCTGAGCGACGTTTCGAAAATCCCCCGATCGACCGTGATAAGCGAGCAAGATAAGCGGCGCTGCGAAATCTCGGCGTGAAGCGGTTCTTCGCGTTTGTAGGAGCTGGTTGAGATAGGTCGAGTTTCGCCGCAAACTGAAACATATATGTTTTACTGCTTAAGTTGTCTTTATTTCATAAAAAATACGAATCTCTCGCTCTCAATATCTCGTTGCCTACGCTGCATATAACAATTTTCTTCTCCCACTTCCTCTCTTCTTTCGTTTATACATTAGTGTAAATGATCCGGGCAATCCGGCACGTGGATGCCCGGCGAATACTAACGTTAATACGAAATAAATAGACGAAATAAATTGGTTCGCGCAACACAATTTCGGGGATGACAAAAATAATACTAGTATCGTCGACGTTTCTCGTGGGAAAATTAATTATACTTTTTGAATAATCACCCATCTCGGCCCCTCTTGCAGGCAAAACGCTGCAAAAGATCACAGCTCCGCTCTATCCCGTTGAAAAACAATCGTAAACAAATTAAAATCAACGTAACGTCAAATACTGTCGAAGTTCGCATCGACAAAATAGTATAGTAGCTCTTAAGAACACGCACACATACGCACACACATACAATCTTTCTATCTCTCTCTCTCTCTCTTTTCACAAACTATGTTCGGCAAGGATACAACTTTCGTGAGAAATAGAACGATCGGATTTACCGCATCGCTTTATGGAACTTACAGACGAGCCTTAATATCTAACGCTTTCGATTATGGTAACGAGAATTTGATTAATCGTATTACTCCACTGTGATTGCTCTCGTTCTCCGATCGCCGACCGTCAATTGCGTCGCATCCGCATTTACACCGGGGTGCGTAATCGGTTTTCCGCGATTGCCGGTTTTTAAAAAGTACCACTTTTACAACACTATTAAGGCAGTACGGTAATGTGACTTGATTTACATAATAATTAGGCTTCCTCCCGTATCCTTTTCTCTAACTCTCTAGATGTAATCGCACGACGTCTCGGATATGTGCTCGATTTATCTAGTCGTGGGGGATATACGGGGTTCCTTCGAAAATCGTGGTACGCAACCGGGTGAGGAATCTCTCGGAAGTCGGAAATGCAGAACAAAACGAGGTCCTGTTCCCGGGAGAATCGATTTAGAAAATTCGCCTTAATCGGCCTAGATTTATCATCAAACCTACAAAACTCTCGATTTCCATTCGTGCTTATAAAGAATCGTAGCATTGCGTCTCGTCTTGTCGTCACAAGGACCAAACAGCTTGGATAGACTAGATCGCTAGACTATCGGACCGAGAAAAATAAATCATCTTAACGTCACGTTTACAGACACTGACACGAAAGAACCTAGTAATTTCCTTTTCCGGTCGTCCAGCAATTTCGCACGCTTCTACTCACGTATACATAATATTGAGTATAAATTCTATTACGAAAGGAGGAACCTCGCAATATATGACGCGTTTTCCCTCTTCGAAAAAAGTTTTAACAATCGCAGATACGAGAAACAAGGAAAATTAGGTTTACGAAAGGAAGCGCGCCTGGTCTCGGATAATCTATCCTCTATCCTAACATTTCGCGCAAAACCTATCGAGTTCTAAAACGATTCGTGAAGTAAAATGATTAATACGATTGTAGCAATGACGTGTTTTTCCTACGTGTCGTAGGCCACGATACATTGGGAGGTGCGGCATGCGTTCGAGTCGACATGCTCCGCATAAAAACTTCCAGGATGTCGCTGAACTATCATTGTTAAAATATCTCTAGAGTACAATGCGATCGTATACTGATATAATTGCTATGATTCGACGATTGACCTGCGCGCCGCAGTCTTCTCCGAGAAAACGCGAACGTGCCGTCGAGAGACCGCGGGTTTTCGAGCGCGATTAGGAGTAACGATGAGCACGATTGACAATGTTAAGGCTCTTGTTTTTCCCTTGCAATATATAAATTTATCTTTATTCCTTCTCGTATCACCAATGTTCAACAGCATAAATTAGTAACATATATATTTCTTTACGACCCGTGGGTTAATAAATAAATCTTAATCAACTGTCAAAAGATCCTTTTTTGCTGTAGGACATACATGCAGATTCACTAATAAATTAAATAATAAAAAGTTTTTAGAGCATTTACTAATCTACTATTGAACGTGGTGACAGATGAAAAAATTAATTTATTTCGATATATAGTGCAAGAAAAAAAAATCGCATAGTTTCTCGCTGTTGAATCGTGCTCGTAATTCAACGTAGAACCAGGAGCCTTAATGTCGACGTAATTAATTTAACTATCTATGTCTAACCAGTGGCGGCTTCAGCCTCACTCGCCGTCGCAGACTCGTCGTCGACTTGCTCCAGCTCCTCGCTCCTCCCCTCCG